AACGAACGTCATATTTTTACACAACTTGAATCATTCTGACATTGAGTCGTTGACATTTTGACTTGACGTTGACATTTTGACTCGACGTTGAGTCCCCTAAACATATCTCCTCTCGATGACCAGTCAGATTCCCGTTCGCTCACGGTAATTCGAATCCGTTAACGCTATCGTCCGACCAGCAACGAATGTTGTATCCAAGAAAGAGGGAAAGAGAAAAAAGCTGAGAACTGTAGAGGATCAAAGATCACGCTCTCCCGCAACGGGCCGTCCCCTTGAGAAAGATGTCTCCGAGCATAGGATTGCTCGGGTGTACACTCCCATCGAGCCACGGTGTGTATCGGATACAATGCGATCCGTCCGTTCCCGTATCGCGTAATCGCCTTATCAAGGGAACACGCAGCCCGTACCAGAGGAACTTAACGGTTTCCTGCGTTCGATCAAAGCACCGTTCCCAGAGAAAAATTCCAATACAAATTTGCATGGAGCCGCTAGAATCCAGCGTGAAAGAAGCTTACGTGTGTTGTGCGCCAGCTGAACCCTGTACAGTCCACTGCAAATATACTGTTCCCTAGGGATCAGATGTTACCTGGTTTTACGGGACATGGTCTAGTTTCATCATTTTTCTTTGGGAGATTTGATAGTTTGGGGTTTGGGATATTTGGAAGTTTGGGAGTTTGGGAGGTGGAGGATTTGGGAGTTGGGGATTTGGGAGTTGGAGGATTTGGAATTTGGGGATTTGGGAGTTGGAGAACTTGGAATTTGGGGATTTGGGAGTTGGAGAACTTGGAATTTGGGGATTTGGGAGTTGGAGGATTTGGAATTTGGGGATTTGGGAGTTGGAGAACTTGGAATTTGGGGATTTGAGAATTTGGGGATTTGGAATTAGGAGTGTTATAGAATTTGGGGATTTGGGAGTTGGAGAACTTGGAATTTGGGGATTTGGGAGTTGGAGGATTTGGAAGTTGGGGATTCTGGAGGTAGAGGATTTGGGAGTTCGAGGATTTGGAATTTGGGGATTTGGGAGTTGGAGAATTTGGGAATTTGGGGATTCGGGAGTTAGAGGATTTGGGAGTTAGAGAATTTGGAATTTGGGGACTTGGAATTGGGAGTGTTAGAATTGGGTGTGTTTGGAGTTTGAAGGTTTTGGACTTTAGGGAGGGTCTCAGGAATTTACATAGAGGGCGAGATTTGATTTGATCATTTCTCTTTGTGAGATTTGCAAGTTTGAGGTTTGAGATATTTGCAAATTTGGGAATTTGGATGTTTTTGGGGTTTGAAGGTTTAGGACTTTGAAGGTCTCGGTAATTTACGTAGAGGACGAGGTTTGATGATTTTGTGATTGGAAGATTTCCAAGTTTGGGTATTCACTAGGATTTAAATATTTCAATGGTTTTAGGGTTTATGACTTTAGGGAGGAACTGCGTCAGATTTCGGTAATCTGAAGATTTAAGTGAGTTAGAAATCTGGAAGCTTGATGGCTCAAAAACCTAAAGAATTTCGATGTTCACATATTTGGAGATTCACAGATTTTACGGTAGTCAGAAATTCAAACATTTTGAACTCTGACCATTCGCTATTAGAGAGCTAACTGGCTGCAGAGGATTAAAAGTTTGAAGATCCAGAAATTCATTAATTTAGCACCCTAAGGAAACTTGTCACTCACCAATGTAGAGATCTACTGATTTTATCAGAGAAGTTTGAAAAGTTAGAACACTAGACATTCGTTTTGCAGATCAATAAATTTGAACCTATTAAAAAAGTTTAAAAATTTCAAAATCTAGATATTCATTAATTCAGAACCCTAAGGGAACTCATCACTTACTAATGCACAGACCTACTGATTTTATCAGAGAAGTTTGAAAACAACACCAGACATTCGTCTTGCAGATCAGTAAACTTGAACCTATAAAAAAATGTTAAATATAAAAACTGTCTAAAGTATCTACGATCCAAAGACTGCGTTGCAGGCGAGTGTACAAGAATGTAAGACAGAGAAGAGTGTGTCGAATAACTTCCTAGAGGCGCGCCTGTCACGACGCCCCGGGTCATTGGTCACCCCCGTGCTTATCTACGGCTGGTTGCGGGCCATCTCCCGGGCCCCTTTCAGACGGCTCGATTTTCACCGCGCGATTTCATTATCCCCTTGATTCCTGCCATCTACGTACATACGTAGATATACTCGTACGGTATGCACAGTCTCTTCTGAATGGGCCTTTCACACGGCCCGCGATAAATTGCCCGCGGGATAGTTAGAATGCGAGGCCTAGAACGGACTTCCGTGTGTGGGCTACCAAAGCGGTTCATCTCTTTATTCCCTGATTCTTGCCTACTTTTCTTTTCTTTCATTTACTCTTTTTACTTGGCGGACTTTTCTTGCGGTGTCACGCGTTATTTCGCCATTTTGTTACTTTTATTCATCTGTGAGCTCTGTGTCGTTTTTATTGTATCTTTGTGTGGCTTTTGCATCTGCAAATCTTTGAAGTTTATCATGGAATTTTGTAAAGTTGATGTACATGTCTGGGATAGTTTAAAAATTGGGTGAACTTGAAATTTCGGTGCGCACACCTTTGGTCATTTTTCGGTGCTTTCACATTTTACCTGAGAGGAAACCTAACGGTGTGAAGAGGAATTTGGTGATTTGAGGATTTGGGGATTTGGGAGGTGGAGGATTTGGGAGTTGGGGATTTGGGAGTTGGAGGATTTGGAATTTGGGGATTTGGAAGTTGGAAGATTTGGAATTTGAGGATTTGGGAGTTAAAGAATTTGGAATTTGGGGATTTGGAATTGGGAGCGTTGGAATTTGGGGATTTGGGACTTGGAGGATTTGGAATTTGGGGATTTGAGAGTTTGGGGATTTGGAATTGGGAGTGTTAGAATTTGGGGATTTGGAAGTTGGAGGATTTGGAATTTGGTGATTTGGGAGTTGGAAGATGTGGAATTTGGGGATTTGGGAGTTGGAGAATTTGGAATTTGGGGATTTGGGAGTTGGAGGATTTAGAATTTGGGGATTTGGAAGTTGGAGGATTTGAAATTTGGGGATTTGGGAGTTGAAGAATTTGGAATTTGGGATTTGGGAGTTGGAGGATTTGGAATTTGGGGATTTGGAAGTTGGAGGATTTGAAATTTGGGGATTTGGGAGTTGAAGAATTTGGAATTTGGGAATTTGGAATTGGGAGCGTTAGAATTTGGGGATTTGGAAGTTGGAAGATGTGGAATTTGAGGATTTGGGAATTGGAGAATTTGGGATTTGGGGATTTGGGAGTTGGAGAATTTGGAATTTGGGAATTTGGAATTGGGAGTGTTAGAATTTGGGGTTTTGGGAGTTGGAGGATTTGGAATTTCGGGACTTGGGAGTTAGAGGATTTTGAATTTGGTGATTTGGGAGTTGGAGAATTTGAAATTTGGGGATTTGAGAATTTAGGGATTTGGGAGTTAGAGAATTTGGAATTGCGAAATTTAGAATTTGGAGATCTGAGAATTTAAAAATTTAGAATTGTGGATTTGGAATTTGGGAATGTGAGAATGACGGATGTTTGTAACGCATTTGAATCACGCGCGATTGACCTGATAGGCGATTTTCGGCTGATCGACGATCGATATATGCGAAGTTATACGCACGCCGTTCTTTTTCGTCCTTCTTTTTGCGTTTCCGTTTGATGACGAATCGCAGTATGTTACAGTATGTATTATTAACTATTATTAATAAGTATATTTAGTTTTTTACAACAACAGAGAATATGCATCTGCAACAATAATTTCTCTATAAAGCTCCATCCGAACTGAGTTCATGTTTATGAATGGTTCACACAGTAAAACAACAGTGCTACGCTAAACAAACGAAATCGATAATTGCCACCATAAAACGTCTACAAGCCACAAAGTGACCACGATTTATATAATCCGTCGCGTTATCCGATACACGTTGTAACAGGGTATGTAACACGGAAGCCTATGTAGCGGGAGGATACCGGGTTCCCAAAGCGTCGTTACGACACCGCTGAATTTCCGTGGCTATCGCGGCATAACCGTGAAGCAATTCGTCCGAGGAATCGTTTAACGCGGACCCTAGCGATGCTCGAGTCACGATCGTTACTTTCCTCGCCCGGTCAGATGTTCTCTTTAGAGAAATCCGAAACAATCGACGGCACCGCCCATTTACGAACACGCTCGTTAGGTAACGAGCCTTCGAGATATTCGCCGTAGATCGTCTACTTTAATCGTCGGTTACGCTGATGATGCGAACGCCATGAGGAAGTAACGGGAAACGGGCCTCACCCGACCACTTTGACCCGCTAAAGAGAAAATATCGCCTCGCTGTAGGGGAGATTGGCCTAAGGACTACGCGAAAATAAGTCTCGCTTATTCTTTGAATGCGAGCATTTGCTGGTGAAAGTCGGACAACCGAAGGGGAAGACACACGATCCAATTTATAGAAATTCACTCAACTGTTCATCTAGCAGATAAAATCATGCCATACTGATTTATGTTCTATACGTGCTATTATGTATACTCGGTACATACATGTCGGGAAGAAGATACCTCACATTTGTGTGCATACTTTCTATCTATGTAATGGATTCATAAATAACTTTATATCTATGTAACAGATATATAAAGAACTTTATATGTATGTAACAGATATATAAATAACTTTATATCTATGTAACAGATATATAAAGAACTTTATATCTATGTAACAGATACATCAACAATTTTATATCTATGCAACAGATACATAAACAACTTTATATCTATGTAAGATATTATATATAAAGAACTTTATATTTATGTAGCAGATATATAAATAACTTTATATCTATGTAACAGATATATAAACAACTATATATCTATGCAACAGATACATCAACAACTTTATATCTATGCAACAGATACATAAACAACTTTATATCTATGTTCATTGCACGTCTACATGTATGTCTTCGTAGAAATAGGAAAAGGATTAAATTTGGTTATCAGAAGGTAATGGGTCCTCGGTTCAGTTGCAGATGGAGCATAGAGGCTTGCCGTCCGATCAGCAGGAGTATCAGTAGCGGTCAGCGATCCTTGGGGCCCTGAGTGGGCCCTCTCGACGTTCCCGTCGGTGGCAGGGCCCGCGCTCGCGACGGTGGGCGGCGTTGTAGCGCCGCGATGGCCGCGACGGACGGTCAGATCGTGGTTGCGGCGGCACGTTGGGCCGAGGAAGCGACGTACCTGCGTGAATTCGTGTCCAAGTATCGTCTGCCGGCGGTGATTAAGATCACTAAGGGCCAGTACGGTGGTCTGGGAGTGGCAGAGTACGGCCCTGTTGGTGTCAGCCGGACGTCGCCGGAAGATCGTGGCACAAGCGGTGAAGATCAAGGAAGGTCGCAGGGTGGTAGGCGTGGGGCCCAGGTTGGCTATACCGGACTCGTACGCGGGCTACTTCGAGATCCTGAGCGAGGAGGGCAGAGCGGTGCGCGGGATCGAGTCGGTGAGCGAGCTGTGTCGAAGATGCCCGGAGGAAGGAGCGCTGGTGCGGGAAACCGTGCGGGGTATAGCCTGCAGAGTGGACGACGAGTCGGGCATAGTCGTTCCCGAGGGCACGAGGCCCCTGGCTGCCGGGGAGACGATCATGACTGCCGGGGAAGTGAGTCTGCCCGGTCGCGGTAGATTTCTGCGCTGCGTCGACTGCCGGGGCGAGAGCGTGCTGCTGGGCATGGAGCAGCGTGGTCGTTTCAGCGCGCTCGCCCGCGAGGACAACATCAGCGGCGTTCACACGGCCAGAGCGCTGCTCAGCAAGCGTCTGCCCTTGACCGTCAGACTGGTGCACGGTCAGCCACCCAGAGGGCTCAAGTCGTCGTCGCAGTTCGTGCCGGAGCTCAGGCTGTTGTCCACGTTCGAGGAGGAGCACGTGTTCGCGTTGCCGTTGCAGCGGGAGGGTGCGGCGGTGGCGTTGCCTCTGGCTGCTCCGTTGAAGCTGGTCAAAGCGAGGAACGAGGAGGCGCTCAGGTCGATGCAGGAGTTCACGAGGCTGGTGGAGCGGGCATCGCGTATCGTCGCCGACGTGGCTGATCGCGCGCACGTGCTGGACGGACGTCTGGGCGAGAGCAAGCCCTCCAGACAGACAAGAAGCGGTTCGGGCTTCCTCAGGCGGTCCTCGACCAACTCGGACAACGGCCCGTTGAGTCATCACAGAAACAGCGCCGGCCATCATCATCACCATCATCACTATCATAGCAACGGACACCAGGCGTCCTCGGGACACGCGGGATACAGGGACGAGAACCGCGTACCTCCTTCGGCCTGCACGGAGGAGTACGACGAGATCGATCAGATCTATGACTACGTCCGCGGGCAGAGTACGGCCCTGTTGGTGTCAGCCGGACGTCGCCGGAAGATCGTGGCACAAGCGGTGAAGATCAAGGAAGGTCGCAGGGTGGTAGGCGTGGGGCCCAGGTTGGCTATACCGGACTCGTACGCGGGCTACTTCGAGATCCTGAGCGAGGAGGGCAGAGCGGTGCGCGGGATCGAGTCGGTGAGCGAGCTGTGTCGAAGATGCCCGGAGGAAGGAGCGCTGGTGCGGGAAACCGTGCGGGGTATAGCCTGCAGAGTGGACGACGAGTCGGGCATAGTCGTTCCCGAGGGCACGAGGCCCCTGGCTGCCGGGGAGACGATCATGACTGCCGGGGAAGTGAGTCTGCCCGGTCGCGGTAGATTTCTGCGCTGCGTCGACTGCCGGGGCGAGAGCGTGCTGCTGGGCATGGAGCAGCGTGGTCGTTTCAGCGCGCTCGCCCGCGAGGACAACATCAGCGGCGTTCACACGGCCAGAGCGCTGCTCAGCAAGCGTCTGCCCTTGACCGTCAGACTGGTGCACGGTCAGCCACCCAGAGGGCTCAAGTCGTCGTCGCAGTTCGTGCCGGAGCTCAGGCTGTTGTCCACGTTCGAGGAGGAGCACGTGTTCGCGTTGCCGTTGCAGCGGGAGGGTGCGGCGGTGGCGTTGCCTCTGGCTGCTCCGTTGAAGCTGGTCAAAGCGAGGAACGAGGAGGCGCTCAGGTCGATGCAGGAGTTCACGAGGCTGGTGGAGCGGGCATCGCGTATCGTCGCCGACGTGGCTGATCGCGCGCACGTGCTGGACGGACGTCTGGGCGAGAGCAAGCCCTCCAGACAGACAAGAAGCGGTTCGGGCTTCCTCAGGCGGTCCTCGACCAACTCGGACAACGGCCCGTTGAGTCATCACAGAAACAGCGCCGGCCATCATCATCACCATCATCACTATCATAGCAACGGACACCAGGCGTCCTCGGGACACGCGGGATACAGGGACGAGAACCGCGTACCTCCTTCGGCCTGCACGGAGGAGTACGACGAGATCGATCAGATCTATGACTACGTCCGCGGGTTCGCGCCGTTGCCCAAGAGCGTCAGGTTACCGTACGAGACCCCTTTGCCCGGACCCCAGGGCTCTAGCCCGCCTCTGACACCCGTCACCGTCACGGTAGCGCCTTTGCTCGACGACAGACCGGAACCGCCGCCTATCGAGACCATTCCGACCAAGAAGATCCAAGCGGAGAAGAGAACGAGGCGCGCGGTCAAGGAGGCGCCACAGCCCAGGCTCGAGAAACCACCGTTGGCCAAACTGTACGTGAAGAACAGCGGCACTCAGAGAGGTCGCCCTTTGATGAGGCAGAAGAGCGCGTCGCCGTTGAAGGAAACGCCTCCTGGGTACAAGGGAGGCTCCCCGCTTTTCAATATCCGATACAAGAGCCTGACCAACCTTCAGCAGGCCATGGAACTCGACGGCACTCTGGACTCCAGTCATTCTGGAGGGAGGACGTCGGGGGACTCCGGTGCTGGTGCTAAGCTACCGGAGAAAAGGTACGTATGACTCGCATGTTTCAGGTAGATACACCAGCAAGAATACGCGAGATTTCTTTGTATTGTGTATCATTGGAGAAAATATGACGCGTGGGAAGACATAATACCTCCTCGCTTTTCTGTGATTCTGCTACCAGGTATACCAAACAGGCACCACATGGCGCTGATCGATTTTAATTTTTCTCGAATGATACATAATACAAATTGGTGCTACCTTTTATACTGTCTCCAGTTTCAACTAGAGCTTCCCCAGTTTTTTTCCCGGTTTTCATACTTTGCAACATAATTAAAGAGTCGATTCGAAGAAAGAGAGTTACGAGTTTGAAAGTTAGTTTTATGGGATAAACAATGGCGTCCTTGATCTATTCCCCAGATCGCGGCGTCTAAGCAGACCACGCTCGCTGACGAATTTAGTGTGGGAGCTTCGCGGCGGAAGTGGCCTTGGTTGCGCGAGACCGGAAACACCGCCACCAGCAACAGCCGCGCCACTGCCACCGACTAAATGTGGACCACGTCTGGCTGTCACCGTGGTGGCACCCCGACGTGTCGGCACGCTCTACCTCTAACTCGTAAGTACCATTCTCAAGCGTAATCACCATCGACTTGATGTACAGATAGCCCCCATGTGTACTATTCTCTCAAGAGGTGAGACAAGTCCTGAATGAAGCGCAGCTGATTAGATCAAAACAGCAGAGATTATACTTTCATTTATGCTTTCAACAGCTGTTTACATCAGTCAGAAAAAGAAGAGTAGTCTAATATTAATATCGAGCATAAACTTGTTACTAGAAATATTAAAAGACTTTAATGCAGTCCGACATAAAATTGTCGGTACAAATACTGCATGACTTTAATGTTGACGAGGGTCTAACATAAAAATGCTGGCACAGATATTACCTGACTTTAATGTTGACGAGGGTCTGACATAAAAATGTTAATACAGATATTACTTCAACATTGATGAACATAAAAATGCTAGAAGCTGTTAAACTATAATTTTAAAATAGCCTATCTACCCGTCGAACATTTTAATAAAGTGTGCACATTTTCTCGACACGCCTGTGTTGTTCCTGAGAAGTCAGATGACATGGTGCAACTATCGAATAAGATGGTGTATTAAGGATCTCTGGTGTCACAGGCGATTACCCCAGTCACTGTTTAAGAACGTTGACCGGGGAAAAACTGAATGTTAACATTTTCACATCCGTCGGTATTCTAATCGATTACCATTACCTAGCTGCAGTAATCGCAGCTTCCCTCGTTAAGTCGTTGTTTTTTTGCCCCGGTGAACGATCACTTTGTCGCCTCGTAAACCCGTGAAGAAAAAAGAAGACGTCACCACGGTGCTTTCGAGTATAATCACTGTACTATTTTCCAATGAGATTAATTTCCTCGCTGCTACTTTATCGGGTTGCACGGTCGAGGTTGCAATCAGCCAGGAAAGGCGTGCACCGGTTACGACGCAGTTAGAGCGTACTTTGTCCAGGAATCGTTAAATTTACAAGATCCAGCTAGGTCGATCCTTTAACGAAGCATTTTACTGGCCGTTATAAAAGGCGGCCAGGTGTTTCCCTATTGCTCACAGTCCTTATTCGTTTAATCGCTCCTGATCGTCATAATCGTGTCTAGGAAACGCATCTGTGCCATCCAGGAAATAATTTCTGTTATTGCTAAGCCCTGGTAGGTTCATTTATTCGACGATTAACGAGGACGAATTCAGGGCAGTCTAATGATAACAATTAGCTTTTTTAACGCTGCAATACAGTTATTTCCGGTTTCTAGGAATTCTACATTTGCTCGAAGGACTTTTCTATACGTAAATTTTATCGAGGTTCAGATTTTCTGGTTTAGGTTAGGTTTACTGGGTTTTGGATTTAGGTTACATTAACTTGGTTCTGGTTATTTTATTTTAAGGTACTTCCAAGAATTTGAAGCTCAAAAAATTTCCAAATTCCAAAGCTTCCAAATTCCCAAGGACATTCTTAAAATTCTTAAGTACATAGTCCACATTTCACACAAACTTAGCCATAACTAAAATGAACACTCAGCTCAATCTCAATTACCGATCTCAACAATTAACTTACAGAAAGGATCTACCTTCTGATATTGTATCAACCTTGTATTTTATGAATATCAAGTTCTGAAGTGATATAAAATATCTTTCCACACGAACTTTAACCCCCGTACAGATTAAATGTGGATCATTTGTGAATGACGCTTACCAAGCGGTACGTACTCAAGTTAGTCATTCGATGGTTTTTAATCGACTGATTAAGTAATTAACTCGTAAACCTCCAATGTTCCGCTATACGGCCAAGGGTATCTATAAAACGTTTTATGAGCGACACCTTTCTGTCGGGTTCGCCAGCTGATGAAGCTGTCCTGTTAGCGGCACGAGGAAATCGTTCCCTAGTTTGCTTCAGTCGTTTAATTAACAAGAGCTCCTTCCACCAAAATAGAAAACTTCCAATCACTGTATTTTATCGGACTCTTAACTTGACGTTGTAAAATCACGATCACTTGTTTGAAATTAGTTTTCAGTTGAGTTGATGATGTTGGTGTTGCAGTTTGGGATGTTGGAGATTTAAGGATTTGGAGATTTAGGGATTTAGGAATCTGGAAATTTGGAGATGTGAAGATTTAGGGATTTGGGGATTTGGGGATGGAGGAGGATCTGGGAATTTAGCGATTTAGGGATTTAGGAATCTGGAAATTTGGAGATGTGAAGATTTAGGGATTTGGGGATGGAGGAGGATTTGGGGATTTGGAGATTTAGGGATTTAAGAATTTGGAAATTTGGAGATGTAAAGATTTAGAGATTTGGGGATTTGGGGATGTGGGGATGGAGGAGGATTTGGGGATTTAGGAATTTAGGGATTTAGGGATTCAAGAATTTAGGAATTTGGAAATTTGGAGATGTGAAGATTTAGGGATTTGGGAATGGAGGAGGATTTGGGGATTTGGGGATTTAGGGATTTAGGGATTTAGGGATTCAAGAATTTAGGAATCTGAAAATTTGGAGATGTGAAGATTTAGGGATTTGAGGATGGAGGAGGATTTGGGGATTTAGCGATTTAGCGATTTAGGGATTTGGGGATTTAGCGATTTAAGGATTTAGGAATTCAAGAATTTAGGAATTTGGAAATTTGGAGATGTAAAGGTTTAGAGATTTGGAGATTTGGGAATGGAGGAGGATTTGGGGATTTGAGGATGGAGGGGGATTTGGGGATTTAGCGATTTAGGGATTTAGGAACTCAAGAATTTAGAAATTTGGAAATTTGGAGATGTGAAGATTTAGAGATTTGGGGATTTGGGGATGGAGGAGGATCTGGGAATTTAGCGATTTAGGGATTTAGGAATTTGGAAATTTGGAGATGTGAAGATTTAGGGATTTGGGGATGCAGGAGGATTTGGGGATTTGGTGATGGAGGGTGATTTGGGGATTTAGCGATTTAGAGATTTAGGAATTCAAGGATTTAGGAATTTGAAAATTTGAAGATGTAAAGATTTAGAGATTTGGGGATTTGGGGATGGAGGCGGATTTAGAGATTTGAGGATGGAGGAGGATTTAGGGATTTAGGTATTCAAGAATTTAGGAATTTGAAGATATGAAGATTTAGAAATTTGGAAATTTGAGAATTGAACATCATAGCAAGAACTATAATAACAAAAACATTTCACATCTACCCCTTGCCAACCTATGAACCTAACCCATGTAACTAGATAACATCGATATCGTTTTCCAGCGATTCTCTCCAAAAAGAAACAGCAGTATGATCAGAAGCATCGTGACTCGAATTTCCCAATAAGCCAGCATGCAAGAAGCAAGTCGGAAACGAGTGTCGGACACGAAGGTGTTCCGAGTATCCCACGAGGTCGAAGCCGCTCGAGTCATCATCATCGTTGCGGACTCCTACGAGCAAGAAATCCACGGATCGTCTCGCTGACGAGCGTGGTGCACGCGAATTTTCCTCGCGGTTTCTGCGAGCGGAGAAAAAAATTCCCAAACTAATGACATTGCGCAACTGGAAACTTTCGTTGCGCCGTTCGGACCCGTATTGACCTTCGCGAGGCAAGAAAGCCTCGAACCGCCTGACGAGCGTGATGCACGCGAATTTTCCTGCGGCTCTTGCGTGCAACGCTTACTTCGATTAAGGGAAAGTGTGAAGGAGGGACCTAACCACTTCCTTATACTTGTTTATTATATTCGAGGTACTGCTATTACTCTTCGAATGTGGAAGCTGTGGTTTATATCTTTTCTATACAAACATTGTTTATGAAATTGTTTATTTTTTATGTTGTGGGCGAAGAGTAAGATTGGAACAAGTCTGCTGTCAAGTATATTAAGACTCGAACAAATGAAGGTGTAATGTGGCATGCAGTGTCAGATGCAAGAGGATTAACAGGAGTATCACTAAATAAAATTAATATCAGAATACTAATGAAGAAAGTAGTACAATAAAACGTCTATTAAAGAAGTTACTGTAAATGTCTCACAACTAGTGTAACTCAGAATCTCGATGGGGTTTGAAATTCTGAACAACTTTTCCCTTTGCAAAAATTCGATGTGATGCTTCGTTTCTAAATTATTAAAGAAAAACACGGACCAATCAGAGCGCGCGACGCGTGCGCAGGCGCGAGAGAGCTCCGCCCAGCCGCTAAGCGCGCGCAATCTTCTCGCTCTGATTGGTCCGTGTTTTTCCTTAATAACTCAAAAACGAAGCTTCAGAGCGAATTTTTGCAAAGGGAAAAGTTGTTCAGAATCTCGAACCCCGGCAATTCCAAGAATTACACTACTTGTGACACATCTTGTATATTTAGTGAGTGTAACAGTTTTATTGTACCACTTTCTTCAAACTCAATTTTCGCAAAGGAAAATCCTATTCAGAATCAGCTACCCCTTTCAGAGACACTAGTTGTGAAACACCCTGTATATCAGTGTCGAATAAACACGTCGTGGTGCACCGGCTACCGGAAGAATCATCCGCGGTACTCACCTTCCCGCTGGTTCCCCCTATCTATCCTATCGTATACTTGGCTCTAACTATCTCCGTGTACAAGATAAGAATCTACCATAGACTTACTGACCAGTCCATTAGTATAACCCTAAACGAAACGTACATTATCGTCGTCCTTTCTCCCTTACACCGTTCTTCCAGGCGTTGCAAGTGTACCATCGATTGATTTAATTTCACAGTCTGATAGATTCTAATAAGCCGCCGTGCGATAAGGGCAACAGCTCAAAACGGTAATTAAATAAACGAGCCTAAAATGTCAATACATATTAGCCGGGCGAGCAAAATCATCCGTGTATTAACAAGAAACTATCTCACGATGAAGGATGGATGAACCGTTACCGGAGGATTCTGTTTATCATCGAGCATGCTCGTTTCACTTATCAGCGCCGGGTAATTATTAACACCTGTGGATTTAGAGGCTGTACCCGTTCCGAGTTAACGTCGACCGGTTTCGAGCATTTTTTTTTACTTTGAATGTCTGACCATTCGTCGACTTTTCTACTTCTCTTCTGGGATTTACCACTGTTATGATAATTGTGTGAGCGCTATTCTGA